GTCTCTTCTTTCCCTCTGTTCTGCCAAAATAATACCATTTGAATATGCCATTTTGCTGACTTCATGGTTTGCTAAGCAGGGAAGTGCACTGAGAGCCTTGACTGCCTGACATAACTCTCCCTGCCTTCTGGGCTCAGGCTGAAGACTCGGTGTTAGACTAGACCTGAGCAAGCTGAGCCTCTTCATTCCTGCTGCTGCTGAAGATTTGGCAGGAGGGTTGCAGGAGTGAGAGTAAGACTAAGGAAAGTTGCCAGCCAGAAGAAAAGCTATCAACAGCCAATTAGCCTCAAGTATTAAATGACGTTTTTGCTTCTTTCTCCAAATAAATTGTTAATTGAGATTAATTAGCTATCGCTTGCTGTCAAAATAGAAGCATTTATCGAGTGGGAACACATAGGGTCTGTCCTGTGCCCAGTACTGCTCACTAACAAACATGATGATATACCAAGTATCTTTTAAGAGGGGAACGTTAGCACATTGGAGAACAGGATTAAAGTTCAAAATTATCTCAACAACTATCAAAAACAGCCTGAGTAAAACAAGACGCAATTCAACAAAAGCAAGTACAAAGTCTTACACTCCGATGGGAATTACTAGCTCCCTAAACAGAGGAACAAGGAATATGTGGCTACAGGGCAATGAAGGAGGTGGAGTACTAGAAGGAATCGCAGGCTGAATAAGGTCAAAAATGCACAACAATTTTCTGCAAGAAAAGCAAATATCAACCCAGAATGGATAAAGAGGAACAGAGTTCATAAAATGCATTAAGTAAACCCTTCCCTCTATGGAGGATATCTGATGGGAACAGGGTACCCAGTTTTGGGTGCTGCACATCAGCAAAGATATAGGATCATAGAATTTAATAATAACCTCTCAGCTGTTAATTCATAGAATCATAGAATTGTTTAGGTTGGAAAAGACCTTTAAGATCATCAAGTCCAACCATTAACCTAACAGTGCCAAGTCCACCACTAAACCACATCCCTAAGCACCACATCTACACGTCTTTTAAATACCACCAGGGATGGGGACTCAACCACTTCCCTGGGCAGCCTGTTCCAATGCTTCACAACCCTTTCGGTGAAGAAATTTTTCCTCATGTCCAATCTAAACCTCCCCTGGCACAACTTGAGGCCATTTCCTCTTGTCCTTTTGCTTGTTACTTGGGAGAAGAGACCGACACCCACCTCGCTACAACCTCCTTTCAGGTAGTTGTAGAGAGC